AGAGTCTCATTTGCCATTGATTCTCGGGCTCCAGGGTTTCTGTACCTTTCCCACCAGCATGAGGGTCAATCTGGCCGTTATTCCAAGCGGAATCCAGTAATTCACCTTTTTGTGAGTTCCTCATTTCAGGAGCATCCATCTCAAGGATGAAGAGGTTTGAGTGCCCTATTTAGGAGGTAGGGGGTCAAAACTGTTACTGCTCAGGAATAATTTATCTCTGGTCTTAGGATCTGTTTACCTACCAAACTCAAAACTGGGGGAGTAAAGTCAATAGATAGAATAGCTCCTGGCTAGACAACCAGACTCCTGGGGAACACATCCTGAAGCTCATAACACTTTCATGTGTTCCTCCATAAGGAGGTTCAAGCTGGAGAAATGGTGATTCAGACCCTGATCTGTGTGCCAACCAACTCTTGCCCCCATAGACAACCAGGTGTGGAATTAGGTAGAGTCAGGGCCAGCTGTTCAGTGTTGACCCACCTCACTAAGCAGGCCAAATATGTCAGCTTCTGCCTGTGGAATCCCATCCCAGGCAGCTGCCTCAGGAAGAAAATGCTCCCATTTCCTTTGAGCAAGCTGTGAAAGGCTATGAATTCAATCCCCAGCACCACAAAAAAAAGAAAACAAACCTAAACCATCTTATTGGACCTAACAGTTAAGAGAATAATGATCGGGCTTGCAACTGGGCAGATTCCATTTAACTTTTCCTTTCTTTATCAGTCTCCCCCCTTCCTCTGTTTTAAGCCTACAAATGCTTAAAACCTAGAGTTCAGTCCCTACTCTATAGTTTCCTCCTTCCAGTCTTCCAGCATGTTTACATGTTCCAGAAGTTGGGAGGCAGGAGTCCTTAAGAGTTGTAGGAGAGGTGTAGGCTGTTCAATATGGGATCCTGTATTAATTTCCTAAGGGGAATGGTGATCCAATCCTGGATAACTGTTTTTCCTTTGCCAAAGCCTCTACCCAACAATTTTGTTTGTTGAGACAGGGTCTCACTATATGGCCCTGGCTGCTGGCCTAGAACTCATTATATAGACCAGGATGGCCTCAACTGAGATTGGCCTGCTTTCTGCCTTCAGGATGCTGGATTAAAGGTATGGACCACGGTGTTTGCACAACCTGCCTCTTCATGGCCATTTGCAATCCCTCACTACTGTTGTTAGAATCAAGCCCCAGTCGTATTTGGTAAGGGAGGGGCCATCAGGTAAGCCCCTGCCCTGGGAACTTCATCTAGGAAGCAACAAGATGAGGCTAGTACTAGCCTTAGAGGCTACCATCAACTGGCATTGGCTTTTCTATCTACAATGGAACAGCGACAACTACAATGGAACAGTGGCTGGGGCCACTCTCCCCTCTGCTGCAGGGCCAGCTCAAAAGTGCTGTTTTAGGTTCCACTCTTGTGCCTCCCCTGTCTGCCCCACCATGCTCTGTGCTCTCTTCAGGCAGATGTGTTTTATTTGAAACTATTTCCCCCTTAAGTGCAATTCCATTGCCTCTTTCCCCAGCAATGTAAAACCCTCCCCTCTCACATTCTCTGCCTGCCCTCTCCTAGTGCCACCCAGGTACCCCTGGATCTCTAGTCCAGCTTCCAGGGACACGGAGTAAACTTGACTCGTTTTCTCTTGTCTAGTCAGACTTCCTTGGTTTATGGTTTAGCTTCCTCTTGGATGAAATATCGAGTAACACACACACACATACACACACACACACACACCCCATGGAAAACTCTGGGTAACACTCTACTTTGGCACACACAGAGCGGCTCCATGGCTTTTCCTTTTCCTGGTTCTCTTAGTGCTGGCCCAGGACCGCGTCAGAGAACTTGAGCTCAAAGAGGTTTGCTGTCTCTGCTGAGGACTGGGTCACTTCCAGCACCACCGTATTCAGATTGTAGTTACTAAATATGCCACTCCTTATCCCAACCACTGCAGGCTTGTCTTAAGCTTGTCTATGAAGCCTCTGTCAGCCAGACCTGGCTTTTAAGCTCCCAGCCTTCAGAAGAGCTGGCTCCCTGAGGAATGGTCAGGGGTGGTGCCAAAGACACCAAACTAAGCTTTCTCAGGACCATGATAATGGGAATAGTCTTTTCCTGCAGTTTCAGATTAAGACTTGCTAATAATAAACAGTAATTCTTTCTCTGAAGGATATTTATTTCCCATAGTCCTTGGTAGACTGCCATCTAAAAAAACCTTCTAGTGGTGTGCACCTTGATGTAATAGCAACAAGAACAAAAAAGGGGACGTACTAATGACAGCAAACACTTCGGTGTTCTCTATATAACCAAGGGTCATTCTCAGATGACTTATTGCATATTGCTATTTAAGCATATAGTTCCTATATTGGTTTTATATAATACATACACACATGTACATGCACATTCACTCAACCCTCTTGAAGAGCTTGAGGCTCTGAGCAGTTGTATGCTTGATGAAGCTCTTGACTCCCCAACGGGCTCTGGTGGCCACTACAGAATGAGAACATGTGAGTAGGATCTAGAGCCCTCTGATCCAAGGTGCTGGAACAAAAGGAACCACATTTTGGAGTTGAAGGATCTATTTCACAGTTCCAAAGGGTATGGGGGAGCTGCCTGAGATTCATGAATGCTCTTCACTGAAGAAGCAATATAGGATACACTTTTCTGGCCAGTTCAGTGCTATTTTCACTCACAGGCCTCTCTTAGGAAGAAAGAAAATTAGCTGTAGTAAGGTAAGTTCTTGAAGCATCTAGAAATGTTAGAATACATTGACTCTGAACCATTGGGAGAATACGGTGGGGACTGGAGAGGTGGCATAGCAGGAAGCATGCATTACAGAAGACCTGGGTTTACTTCCCAGCACCCACACTGGGTAGTTCACAACCACCTGTAATTCAAGTTCCCCCCTGGGGATCCACTGCCTCTGGCCTCCTCAGGCATCTGCACTTACATACATATACATATAACTAAAAATAATAAAAATAAATCTTAAAAGAACTAAGAAAGTGAAGAGGTTGTGGCAGCCCCTCAACAGTCACTAACCAGTCTAGGAATAGTCAAACAGGAGGAGGTATGTTACTCTATGAGAACTTTGTCAATCACACTCATCTTTTCAGTTCATGTTTAACAATGCCGGTGTTCTGGTCATTATAGTTTTTATTTATGGTATTTATGGATTCTAGCAGCTTTTTCCACACATTTGTTAACTTCCATTATAAATTAGAGATTATACTTGAGGGTTCTGGGGTTTTGATAGGGTCTCCTATAGCCCCAGTCTGCCTGGAACTCACTATGCAGACCAGGTTGGCCTCAATCTCAGGAAGCTACCTGCCTCTGCCTCCTGAGTGCTGGGATTAAAGGCCTATGCTACTATGCCTAGTGTGAGGATTTTGGTTTTTGTTTTTCAGTGCTGGATATCAAACCCAGGGCCTATCAGTGAGGCCCCTCCCACCAGTTGAATGTGAGCTCCATGGACCCAGGAAACTGTTGACCCCACTTAGCACTCTATTTCTTCTGCAGAGCCTTTGAATCCCTGTTCTTTCTTTTCAACTTCTCTAGATCACAATACTTCTCTCATGTCCAAGGACTTTGTGTGGCATCTGGGTACCTTAGTATTTGTCTTTCCGTAGCTTTGGTGGACTACTAATGGGCAGATAAAGGGAGAGGAAGCGGCATTCTGTACTGCTGCTGGAATAGCCCACGAGCTTGTGGCTTTGGGCTCCTTCCTGAAAGGAGTAATTTTCCAACTTAAGTCATTTGAAATACAAGATATTCCATTTCCTTACAGTAGGATAAAGCTTCATAGCTCAACCCAAGCTTGTTGTGAACGCAACTGAATGACTCCTCCTGCACCTCTTGGTCATTATTACACAGGCCTCCTCCCCAAATTCAGCTTTGCCTCTATGCTTCCATCCTGAGAAGCATCTTTCCCATGCTAGCAATGAAATATAACTAGAGTGCAGATGGACCAGATTTTCATTTAGACTCTCTGTTTGCACTAGCTCTTTGAAGAAATTGAAAATTACTTAGAATTTATTTGCATTTATATTTCATTCTAGTATGAATGCTCAAGGGCAAATGAACATTTTGACTAGAATAATCCATGAGGGAGAACATGTAGCTTGCTAGAGGTCATTACCCCAAAGCTGAGTACGGTGGGGTCTGCCTGAATTTCATCACTCTGGATGATGAAGCAGGAGTTACAGGCCAGCCAAGGCTAGACAGAAAACTCTCTCCAAAGGAAAAGCAGCAGGGTATGATGGCTCACATCTGGAAACTCAGTACTCAGGAGGCTATGGCAGCAGGACTGTCATTAAGTTTGAAGCCAGGCAGGGCTACTTAGTAAGTTTAAGGCCAGCTGTATCGTAAGACTTTCTCAAAACACACAAACAAAAAAACCCACCCAAACAAAACAAAAACAAATTAAACCAACCAACAATAATAGTAATAACAACAAAAACAAAGCCATTACCCCACCAGTGGGGAGAAGCCCAGGACTCAGAGCCAGACTGCACCTTGGTGTTTTCACCCTGATGCATCAGAGCTGTGTTCAGGTCAAAAGAGAGGAGCAGCCTTCCTTTGGAAGTGTCAATTTTCTGACAAGAGTCTTGGTTGACAAGAATGCTTCAATTTTATAAGGATACAAGTGTTGCTTTTTGCTCTCACCCCTCTTAAAAAGTTTGCAATGCACCCCACCCCCTCCGTTGGGGAAGGGGCTGGTTATACACTTCACTACAATGCCAAGTTCCAACTAATACAAGTGTTAGTTCCAAGATCTCACTGATGTGAGTCCCTATTGGCCTGTAGAAGATAATCCAGAGGACACCACCTCTCTATTCTTCCTTTTACAGTCAGATATGACCTTTGTCCCAATACCTAGTAGTGACATGACCACTGTCACAGACACAGAATTTGTCTTCTAATGGCTTTTAGGCCAGGTTTCCAACTGGGCAAGAATTAAAATAGCAAAGAAATAAAGAGGGGTGTGTAAGCAACCAAGTCTTCCCTGGAAGAGAAAAGGAAGACAGGAGAAGTGAATAATAGGTTTATTTGCATATACACAAGAGAAGAGTCAGCATTGCTGGGTGAGAAGAGGCAGGGCTGTGAGGAGGTAAGGCTTCAGCAGAGGAAGGCACCTTGACAGACAACACGAGACTTATTAAATCAGCACAGTTTTGAACTTCATTTGCCCAAGCCAACAACTCATTGAATTCATGTATAGGCTGAGAATCATTTACAAAACCAGGTGGGAAATAAAGTGAAGAGAAATAGTTTCACATATCTGGACTTGTTGCTTAAGACTTTATGTACAGGATGCAGAACAAACCTTAGAGGCACTTCCAAATAGTTCTTAGCCTGATCAGTGCCATCTGCCCTGCTAGAAAAAATACCTACCATGGAAGAATCTGGGAATTAAATAGTCTCCAACCTTGGAGGTCTCAATTGTACAATGGTTTAGGAGAAGGAATCCTTAAGTAGTTCCTGCCAGGGTTCCAGGACCACCACACACAAAAGATCTTTGGAAACAAGGGTGTGGAGAGACTTAAAAAAAAAAAAAAAATCCCTTTCTTACCTGCTCTGGTGGTTACTTCATAGTCTTTCTCCTGGGAAGCTGAACCTATGATGCTGGAAGTCTCTCCCAAGACTAGAAGGCAGCTTTCAAAAACTGGCCTTCTTGGCTTCTACAATATGAACTAGATGAACTCTACCTTTATGAATGTCTCTTCTGAGTACCCAAATGAGATAAAGGCTTTTAGTATGAAAGACCAAATTCTGCACTTGAAAACTACCAATAACTAATTTCCAGTGGAATTTTTCTTTCTCTTTTTTCTTCCAGGAAGCTATATGGATTGTCCTTAGAGACGCTATCTGATTAGATTAACAGAATGTAAGAACCAGGTATGCTAACTAAGAAGGGGAAGAGAGACACACAACTGAGTAGTTTTAACTTTTTTGTATATAAAGGATAAAAATTCCAATTTAATTATTTTGGAAAAGCAAATGTAAAATGACTTGGGCTTATAAAACCAGAATTTACAATTATCTGTGAAAAGTCAAAGATAAATCATAGAACCATTTTGATTACAAATCCAAAGCAATTCTAATGTTGGTTACAGAACCACTGTCCCACTCCCCCAGGAAGAGTCCAGTTTTTGAACTGTATACATCCCCACTCTACTCCAGTTGCTTCTTCTCCTCCTCAAACTGTGCTTTCACACCCCAGAACATCACAGATACCTGGCACATCTTCCTTTCTTCAAAGTTCAGCAAGAAGCTATCTCCTTGCAGCTACTTTCCTCTTCTAAAGCACACTGGCACCCAGTACTACTTCCTCCATTCTTCACCCTCCACAGGTGGTCTCCTCTGGCTCCATTCAGTAGGACAGCTCATCATCTAAACTGGGTCAGTAAGGCCAAAGTAGCCTTGCTCTTACCTCCCCGTGACAATCCCAGTGGGCTCCCAGCTGTCTCCCACCTTTGCACTCAACAAAGTTACAGTGTTCTCTCTTTTCCTCGTGTCTTGGAGGCATTCTGCTGTTAATAACATCTATACCAACAAGACCGGTTATCCCTAGGTCTTCCTGTCTTGCACAACCCTTCACTGATAACTGAGGGACTATACCACCACTAACACTGAAAATTTGGTATTTTCTTCTCTCAACTGTTACCTACCTCAACAGACTAGGAGACAAACCAGAGACTTGTCTCTCCACACCCTCTGCCTCCTAACAGATTTGATAAGATGTTGTCATTTTGAGATGTCTACTAACTCTGTAAAGTTCAGTTAGAACTCCACAACCTCTTGACAACTCCAAGGAGTCAGACCCACCAATTCTGACCAATGGACTTGTGATGGACTAAAATACAGTACCACATTCTGCTCTTCACTCTAATTCATTAGCACGCCTCTAACAGCCACTTTATTAGTCTGAATATAAAGCTCTCCAGAAGGGTCCTTTCCTCTTTCAGTATGCCTAGACTCCATCATATGGAGTCAAGGAAGCACTCACTGGTCTTGAGTGCCTCTTGGGAACTAGCACCTAACTGGTTAAAGAGTGTTATCCATGACTAGTCAGACTGCATGGCACCCAGTGCATTACTGCTCAGTTTGTAAACAGTGAAACTATCAGGGATCTACATGTTTTAAATCTGATCTTATGTGCTTACCTCTCATTAGCATAAAAATGTTCCACTTCTAGTAGGTCCCACATTAAACGCTCAATGAAGTATTAGAGAAAACATGGAATATTTTCTTTAAGAACCATGCTTTTCTCTTCAGCACAGCCAATGAGCTGAAGGAAGCGAAGCCTCTTTCTAGTCTCCTTTCCATTCTGCTAGCATAAATCTTTAACTCACTGGCAGCACAATCTGATCTAACAGACACTCTTCATTAAGACCAGAACACCTATGTCAAGTGAACATTGAACAGATGAGATGGCAGAAGCTACAAAGAGACTCACAGGTCTTTGCTGATGGACAACTAGAAGAAAGGTCTTGAGACAAGCCCACGAGTCAGTGGACACATACATAGGAACAAGTCAAACATCCCAACAAGGGTTTACCATCAAAGAACCTGCACATGTATGCTGTGCTCACACCTCATTAAAGAAAAGCCATTTGATGTTTCCCCTCTCAGCACAGCATAAGACAGTAGCCAGCTAGACATTCCAACCCACTGGTGAGTGGTGTATATAAGGGAGCAGCAGCAGACACAACATTTCAGGCCCTGGTTTTATGTGCCTTTAATACTTTTTTTCCTTTCCTCTGTGTTCACTAAACAAGAAAAAATTATTTCATAAGGCTACTTCCTGTAGCTTTTTGTTTTCCCTTTGCATTTATCATGTTTTCAATTTCTTCTCTGAGGAGGAATTCTCTGAATCTGTGTCTTCCAATTCAATTCGGTGCCTTTTGAGGCCACTGTGGCCATGAACAACCTTGCTGCTGTCCATGGCTGAGGAGTCAGTGGAGTCCTCTCTCATTCCAGCACTGGGGGTCTCACAGGCTATTTCAGACCCACAACAATCTTTGTATAGAAGTGTCCCTGTCAGGGACGAGTTATCATGGTCAGTGTCTGGATGTCCTGGGGAAGAATACGCTACTGACTCCAGTTCCCCAAAGTTCTGCCCATTGTTGTGGGGATGAGAAGGCCGGGGGTGTAAGTGTCCATTGTTATGGTTGGCACAGATGGTTTCGAGGCTCCTCTCCTCAGTGTCATCAGACTGGGTCCTGGGACAGTTGCCAGACCCACTGTTGAGAGTGGAGCCAGATGCCTTGGGGGCAGGAGAAGAGGGTGGCTCCTCAGCCCGGCTGCTCGGGGTCTTGATCAGGGCCTTTCCATTGAGCTTCTTGGTTTCAAAAGAGTGTTCTAGAGGGCCACCATTGTTAGTGTCCTGAGAGGTGCCCTCTGGCACCTCTGCCCATGGGTGGCTGCTGTGCTCATGGCTTGGGCCATTGGGATTTCTAGAGGAAGTTCCATCTTTAAAAGCATCTTTGCTGCAGCCTTCAGGGGCTAGGTCCTGGTTCCTTGGGGTTGTGGCTGTTAGGCAGACTTCCTTACTAGAAGAAGGGACTGGGTTGTCTTTGTGGCTGGTTCCTGCTCTCCCTTCATCTGCCTCCCCTGTCACTAGGGAGGTCTCTCCATCTTTATTTGAGTAGGATATGTAAGAGTAGCGGAGCCATTTGTAAGCTTTATAAATTTTTCTCTCAACAGATTCTATGTTGGAAGTTGGTGGTGCTCGGCTTGGTTGAATATCCAGAGTGGAAGTGCTCCGCTCAGGGGAGGAGGTGGGTGAAGAAGAGAGGTCATCCACTTTGATCTGGGGGTAATCATAGTTGTCTTCTCCAATGTAGGTGTTGGTGGGCTTGGCTGGGGCGCTGGGCCTCTCCTCTCGGGGTGCTTTTTGTCGACGACGCATGGCATTTCGCTGCCGGGTGGAAGCTCGGCGTTCATTCAGTTCTTCTTCGTCCTCTGAGCTGCTGGAACTACTGGAACTGCTGGATTCATCTTCAGGACTAGGTGACCGTGGCCGAGGGAAGAGATCTGTGTCTAGTTCAACCTCACAGGCATTCTCTTCAGAATCAGACTCGTTGGATAGAGCCAGGAGGCGTTTATCCTGATAGCGCCTCAGAGCAGACAGGCGCTGCTGGCGAGAGGCTGCATCCTCACACGTTGGTGTTGGTGGGGTTGATGATACTGCATTTGTGCTGGTGACCCGCAGGGGCCCCAGGTGGAAGGCGCTGTCAGCAGACTCATCTACTGTGGGAGGTGGGGAGCGGGGCAGTGAAGCTGAGGATTCAGAGTCAGTATAGCCTGAGCGCTCACTGACCCCTGCATGCAGCTGAAGGATAGTACTCTCACTGAGGTCACTGTCCGAGTCAGAGCTCCAGCCCTCAATTTCTCGGCGCACTAAAGAGTCAAAGAAAGCCATCATCCGGGGGTCTTCCTGGACTGACTGGTTAGCATAGTCATGGGACAGGCCACTCCCGCTGTTCAGCACAAGGCTGATGTATTCTTCATGGGTGTAAAGGCAGCGAGAGTCATCCTCAATCCGACCATCAAGGTCTCCTGTACATCCTGGTTGCTTGTATGGGCTCCATATCTACACAGATGGGAGAGGAAAAAAAAAAGCAACAGGACTGATTGGAAAGTGTTCTATAGCTGGAAGAGATAAAAACCACTAAAGACAGCTGGTGATGGTGCTGTATATCTTTAATTCCAGCACTTGGGAGGCAAATGCAAGATGATCTCTGTGAGTCAGAGACCACTCTGGCCTACACATCAAGTGCTAGGCCAGCCAGGGCTACATAGTTAAGACCCTGTCTCAAAATGTGGGGAATGTTAGAGAAGCAAAAAGTCCCATAAAAAAAAGGAAGGGAGGGAGGGAGGGAGGAAGGAAGGAAGGAAGGAAAACCCCAAAACAAAAACCACTAAAACAGACCTTCCCTAGATGCTCCCTGTCATTTTAAAGCCACTAACCAACATATTTTCTTCCCTAGATGAAATGACATACTCTTGTAATCCCAGCTCTTAAGAGGCCGAGGCAGGGAGGCTCACAAGGCCAAACCTGAGCTATAAAGTAAGAACTTGCCTAACTCCCCTCCCCCAAACAACAACAAAATTACTTAACAGATTGGCTCATGCAAACTGTATATGAAAACCAAGGCTTTCAGAATCAGTGATGGGAAAAGGCATGGTTTAGGGCATAGAATTAGCCTTCTTCCCAGAGGCCTAAGGCTGTGTTTAGGCCCAGGATAACCACATTATTGACTTCCCTCACAATCTCCTCTTAGTTCCCTCTGTTAATACTTAAATTATAGCCCTATCTAAATGGTGTGGAGAATGATGTAAAGATAATTGCCTGGTGCGGTGGCTCACACCTTTAGTCCTAGCACTTGGGAGGCAGACCTTTAGTCCTGGCACTTGGAAGGCGGAGGCAGAGGCAGGCAGATCTCTATGAGATTGAGGTCAGTCTGGCCTACAAAGCAAGTGCCAGGCCAGCTGGGGCTACAGAGAGAGACCCTGTCTCAAAAGACCAAAACAAACAAACAACAAAAAAAAAACAAAAAAACAAACAAACAAAAAAAAAACCTCTCAGAAAATTGAAGCTATGCACAGAGAAGTTTTGGAAAACAGACCTGACAGTCAGTTCTTTGTGACAGTTAATATGCTCCACTTCTCCCAAACTGCAGGGAGGCCAGCTGGGGCTACAGAGAGAGACCCTGTCTCAAAAGACCAAAACAAACAAACAACAAAAAAAAAACAAAAAAACAAACAAACAAAAAAAAAACCTCTCAGAAAATTGAAGCTATGCACAGAGAAGTTTTGGAAAACAGACCTGACAGTCAGTTCTTTGTGACAGTTAATATGCTCCACTTCTCCCAAACTGCAGGGTTCGTCTTTTTTTTTTTTTTTTTTTTTTTTTTTTTTTTTTTTTTTTTTTTTTTTTTTTTTTTGTCTTTTTGAGCTCTGTATCCCCAGCTGGGCTGGAACTTGCTATGTAGACCAGGCTGGCCTCAAACTCAAAAGATGTGTCTGCATCTGCCTCCCAAGTGTTGGGATTAAAGGCATGCGCCACAAGCCTGGTAGGATTCTATTTTTAACCAATGAGAATTGCTCACTGGACTTTGATAAGAACAGCAAACTGCCTACACTACAGCCCCCTGCACATGTAGGCATCAGTTACCCAGGAAACTGGATTCTTCTAACCAGGGAATTGCTGGCTTGTTTACCAACTATTTGGTTAGCTTCAGGAGAAGATAAGTCTGGTAAGACTTTATCCTTATACAGGTGACTGAAACCATATCTCTTAACAGTCCTTTACCCTATGATCAAGGACATGGGCTCACAGATAAAAGGTAACAGAACCAGGATTTTAACTCAGGAGGTCTTTTTGATTCAAAAGCTCAGCTTCATAGGTAGGATAAATGATGCAAAAATCAAGCTCAAGGTAACTACGCTGTCACAGCAAAAGAGAATATTTAACTCTACCTGACTGCCAGACTGGTCCACAGAGCTGTACAAAGGAGTTCAGTTACATCAGCCTGTAGCCATGGCAACTAGATGAAATTCCAGGCATTTTCTAGCCTGATAGGCTGAAGTCTATCTTTAGATAGCATCTCACCACCCAGAGAACAGTGTTCCATCATTCCCCTTTCTCCATCAGAATTCTTTCCTTAATCTAACTAAGGACAAATTCACCTCTCCCTGGGGAACTTTCCTGAAGCTTATTCCTGACATGCTTTCCTTGGCAATTCCCAGGAAATGGTATCTCTTTGGAGGACTTCCAGCTCAATGGAAGGCTGAAGAAACCTAGAGTCACTTCTCCAACCCCAACTCATATTCATTCTTCTTTCAGCTTTGTTTTCCCTCTCTAGATCTACTAAGGAAAAGTGAGAAAGGTTTTCTGAGGGGGGGGGCTCCAACAGAGGAATACCACTTCCACCTTTCTTTTGAAGTCTTATACTAACTTCTATTGAGATGACCCCAAATGAGCAAAAACTCTCCTTCCACGATTCTTTGTTTCCACGTTTTAGGACCCCTTGCATTTCCCATTGTCTTTATTTCTTGTCTCCCCTACTGGGTCATCAGTTCCTAGGTAGACATGTGCTATATTTCTTCATTTTATGCTTCCCACAGGATCTACCTCAAATGGCGTACAGTAGACAGATCACAAATATGAGGCTAATAAACTAATGTTGGGTTGGGAAAAAAGAATTTTTCTCATCCTTTCATGTTTAACTATAAGATAAATCACTTCTTTTGCTAAATGTGGGCATTCAGGGAAACAGAAGACCCCCTGTGTAAGTGAAAGAGGCTGTTCTGACAAAAAAGACTCTTTTCCAAGCTGGAAAGGATGGCAGTAAAAGATAAGGGCAGAGAGAAGGGGGAATGGAAAGAGCAAAACAGGTCTCATGGTAGGTGATGCTCTTTAGTCACTGACCTGACCTTTTCAGAAGTAGCAAGTAGGAAAGGACTTTCTTTAAATAACAATTGTGAGGCACAGGTAAATCCCAATGCAAGAGGGGCAAGCCCCCTCACCAACAGGACACCAACACAAGGGTGCTGAGAAGTGGGCTTTCAGGAGGCTCAGGCAAGGGCAGTAATTCCAACAGAGAGATGACGCCGGCACTTGGTTTCATCCTTAACCTTTCCTTTCCCACTTCCACTCTTACATTTATTCTTTTCTTTTTTGAGAAAAGGTCCCACTGTGTAGTCCAGGTTGATCTTTGAATTCCATATCTTTCTGCCTCAGCCTCTTGGATGCCCCATCAAACCTAGCCTGCAATGCTTTTCTAACAGCATGGTATTTCAAGGCAGATGGAAAATGGGGAGGGCATCTGTGAGAACGCAAAATGGAGACCTCAGGCCTTTATGCTTTCCCTCTCACTGTGCAGACTTTAAGGTTTCAAATGGTCAAATGTGCCTCTTGGTTCCTATGGGAACCTGGGAGCAGTGAGCACTACAATTCAGTCTGGATAACCTCACAGAGAAAACATTTTCTTCCCTTTCTTGAGAACTTGGCTAGTTTCCAACCTATGACCTTTAGCGTAAAGACTTCAGTTGACTAAACAATATCTGGGGAGACTTAGCACAGAAGCATCCCAGAGTACATGCCAAACAGGAATTTCTCTTCTAAAGGAGATGCCCAAGCAGAGAGCTTTCTGAGAAGAGAATGACGTCAACGATCCAGGAGAGGGCATGTTACAGAGTCAAGCCATTAGTTATAGGCCAAAAGAGAGGGAAAAGCAATAGAAGGGACAGGACCATTTCAATGTCTGTCCAACTGAAGGACTACTGAGATGATCCAGTCAGGCTATCCACTCTTCCCATTAGCATGGCAGATGTGGTGGGATAAAACACAGGGTTTTCACTAATTAACTGTGTGACCCCAGACAGAAATTTGTATTTTAAATTTCATCATCTGCAAAAAGAAAAAGTCGGTTAAAAAAAATGATCTATAAGTCCCATACTGAGGAAACAAATGCAGCCATGAAAGTCATCCCCAATCTGAAACCAACAAGCCATGGACAAATGAAAATACTGACCTACAATATACTGCCAATGTATTTCTGATAGTTGCTCTCTACCCTCAAATATACAAAATTCTAGATAATAATAATAAAAAATACTAAATAATCACAAATACAGTTTTACTTTTTATCTGAAAATTCTCTCAGGCTTCAATGTCATTTAAAACAAAGTTGAGGAATTTTAACTATTGTGGGAAGCATTCTCTCTCCTGACTTAAAATCATGAGGGAAAAAGAAGGAAGGAAAGGAAGAAGGGAGGGAGAAAGAAAAAAAGAATCATCATTTTGTCTGAACTCTCACTTCCCCAGATATGGAAAAGGGTCACTGATCACCTAGAACATGAGTGACTGCACATGGGCAGTAGAGTATCTTTCTGTAGACACAGGTCAGGCTGGTTCCCTCTGTGGTATCAATAAAAATACTTCCCGGTGAAAGTGAGTTTGTTCACCTGGTATAGTAAGTATTCATATCCAAGTCACCTCAATCAAAACCCCATACAGTTTATTTTGTTTTGCTTTGTTTTTAAGATAGGGTCTCCTTGTAATCCCAGCTAGCCTGGAACTGGTTATGTAGACCAGGCTTGCCTCGGTCTCAGAGATCTGCCTGCCTCTGACTCCTGAACACTTGGTTTAAAGGTAGATACCACCTCCCCCAGCAAGTTACTGTTTTTATTTTTTTTTTATTTTCAAAAATACCTATTTTTATTTTATGTGGATGAGTGTATTGCCTGCATGTATATATGTAAGTGTACCTGTGTCATGCAATGCCCCAGGAAGTCAGAAGAGGGCGTCAGATCCCCTGGAACTGGAGTTACGGAGAGCTGTTAGCTGCCATGTGGGTGCTGGGAACTAAACCCAGGTTCTCTGCAAGAGCAGCCAGTGTTCTTAACCACTGAGCTATCTCCCCAGCCCCAGACTACTGTCTTTAAACATATCTTGAGACAACTTAGCCATGATTCTGAAAAATCATTTAGTTAAATCTTTGCCAAATTAGGATAACAATTTAGCAAAGTATAAGATGGTTAACCGATGAGATAATGGTTCTCCTAACTTCCACATGTGTGGGGAAACCAGAATTCACCATAGTTAAGATCAAAGACCACTGGAAATGTAACAACATATATGGTAGTGTTTAGAAGACAGTTCTAGCTGGGTGTGGTGGTACATGCCTTTAATCCCAGCACTCAGGAGGCAAAGGCAGGCAGATCTCTGTGAGTTCAAGGCTAGCCTGGTCTACACAGTGAGTTCCAGGACAGCTGGGGCTACAAAGAGACCCTGACTCAAAAAGACAAAAAAAGAAAGTTCCTGTTTCAAAGGCTGGTGACCAGTTTTAAAAATGGTTCTGGAGGCATAGCCCAAGGCAAAGGAAGATGCTGGGCCAGTAGTGGAATGGTTTGAAGATAGCTTTAAGGTCATCAGTTCTAGGCTAAGCTCTGTACGGCTTCCGGCTTCCTCCTGTTTCAGTTACCTATACGCATAAGTGAAGGAATGTTTATGAAACATAAAAAATATAAGTATGTACAATATAGAAATGCATCATGTACATATGTATTGATCAGTTTGGGGTCTTTTTTTTTTTTTTTTTGAGACAGGGTCTCCCTGTAACCCCAGCTGGCATGGAGCTTACTATGTAGATCAGGATGGCCTTGAACTCAAGAGATCTGCCTGCCTCCACACCTGGCTCAGTTTAGGGGTCTTTAACTGGAACAAAAAAAGCTACCTACACTTTTCTATAGAATTGTGTACACATAGTACAAATCCACGTATATGTATTTTAAATTTTCTTTTCTTGAGACAAGGGTTTCTAGCCCAGGCTGGCCTTTAACCCCCTAAGAAGCCAAGCATAACCCTAAACTTCTGATCCTTCTGCTCCATCTCTCAAGTCTTAGAATTACAGGTGTGTACCACCATACCCTAAACAAATATATATTACTAATAAAAAAATACATATAAAATACATCCATTTATTAATAAACATGCTAAAATAATTCTGAAAGGCTCAAAATCACTTTTCTTTTTTCATTATGTTAATTTAAAAAAGTTTATTTATTATTTTTATTTTATGTGTATGCATGTATTGCCTGCATGTAGGTAAGTGCACCCGTGTCGTGCAATGCCGGCGGAGGACAGAAGAGACTGTTGGATCCCCTAGAACTGGAGTTAGCTGCCATGTGGGTGCTGGGATACGAACCTGGGTTTTCTGCAAGAACCAGTGTTCTTAACCGCTAAGCTATCTCTCCAGTCCCTATTGTTTTAATTTTACATGTATTAGTATATTGCCAACATGTATGTAAGTACACCCGTATCATGCTATACCCTTGGAGGTCAGAAGAAGGCGTCAGATCCCCTAGAACTGGCGTTACTAACAGTTGTTAGCTGCCACGTGGGTGCTGGGAATTGAACCCAGGTCCTCTGCAAAAGTAGCCAGTGCTCTTAATCTCTGAGCCATCTCTCCAGCCTCCTCTCTTTCTCTCCATTCTTTTTTTTTTTTTTTTTTTTTTTTTGAGACAGGGTCTCACTATATAGTACTGGCTGGCTTGAGACTCACTATGTAGACCAGGCTGGTCTCGAACTCACAGAGACCTACCTGCCTCTGCCTCCTGAGTGATGAGATTAAAGGCATGCTCCACCAAGCCTGGCAAAAATCACTTTAAAAATATCAACTTCTGATAATTTTTAGTATAACAAATTCATTGAGAATTTTTTTCTTTTAAAAGACAGGGTCCTATGATGTAGCTAGCCAAGCTAGCCTTGAACTTGAGATCCACCTAACTTGAGTCTCCTGAGTGTTAGGATTACAGGCATGTACCACCATCCCTGGCACTTGAGAATTTTGGTAAGTGTTTAGTATGTTTAGATATGAATCCCTACATACACTCTTCCAGTCTTTCCCAGTTATAAACTATAAAACTTCCTGAAAAGGACAGAAGAGGGAAGTGCCTCACCTTGATAATTTTTTCTACACCTGAAGAGCAGATCATGTAGGTGTGGGGGTTAAACCGGACTTGGTTAACAATGGATCGATGCCCTTTCAGCACCATGAAGGCTCCATTGACCACCCTGCCAATGCCACCTGGGAAGACAGAAGGAGACAAAAATTGAACATTGAAAGCAAAACAGGTTCTAGTAATGACATATAAACAACTTTGAAGAGGAGCTGGGATTTTTTTATTAACCCAACTGTAAGCAGAGTGCATAATCTCACAGATAAAGTTGCTATGGAAAGAGGGATAAGAAACACCTCTCAGCATATGTGCTCTTACCAAGAGGCTTTATTTAGCCTGTAAGCATTGCCCACGCTCACCCACAGCAATTCCATTGTCAGTGAACCCAAAGCCACTTAAAGTTTCAAGTTTTTGGTCTCCAAGTTACAATCTAAGTATTACTTAGAAAAAAAACATGAAAGCAAAATCAGATTGAACTGCTTGGGACTAGTCAGGCTGCTGAGCAAGGAACATGCAAAACAAGAAGCATGTGATGACTTAATACACAAGGCATCTTTGATCTGTTTAGCCCCCAATTTATACTAAGATGACAAGAGAGCAGGGAGAAGCACAAAGAAAATAATGGGAAGAATCCTTTTTTCTGCACCTGGATAGCAGGAAAAAAATAAAAGATAAAAGCAATGTGGACTACTTTCATAATAAGCAAGGTCCAAGTGTCCAATTTGAACTAGAGTAAGTGAGATGGCACAGAAGACAAAGGCACTTGCTACTAAGCCTGATGACCTGATTCCTGGGTACCATATTGTGGGAGAAAATCAACTCCAGAAAGTTGTCCTCTGACCTTCACCCATATGGACTTCTTACCCAACCCCAGTAAATAAATAAAACATGATTTAAAAATTTAAAAAATATTTGAACTAAAGAGTGGGCCTTATGTATGATTCTAGTCAAGAGGCCACTGATAAACAGATCTGATCATTGATGAACTTGGAAGAAACTCAGAGATTCTGAGAAATCAACAACAGCTGAGTACACATAAACATGGCAAAATAGGATGCACCCAGAAACAAACTAAAGAGTGTTCATTATTTGATCAATTACTACATGGTGCCTATACAGTACAAGTAGGCAGTTTCTGTTCCACATGTCCCATTCCACTCCCAGCAATACTTTCCTCAACACTCATTCCAAACATTTCTCAATGTCTCAGTGAAAAAACAAGGACTACAACAAGGTGCCTTCCCCCAAATAAACTCTTTCAAGAAATTCTTCTGCATCTGGCCTCCTGGTACAACACCCCTTTTGTTCCATGGATAAAATAGGTTATCATGGTGGGACACAGGCATGTCCAACCAATGGGCTACAATGCATCCCAGGATAAGAATTAGTGCAGCCCAACATGTTTGTAAATGATAGGCTCAAGTCATAAGATCAAAATGGTGACACCCCTTCAAGGCAATCTGAGTGCCTAAGGGTGGGATGGGAGTAAGAAAGATGGGTTTGGTCAAAAGAAAAATAAAATCAAAAAAATGAGAGGACAGGGATCCATGAGGGCCTAAGGTCCTAAAACAGTTGTCTAGATATGGGAATCACAGCAACCCTGAGAGTACTGGCCAAGTTTCATTTCTGTTGCTGTGATGAAATACCCAACAAAAGGCAACTTAGAAGAGAAAGGGTTTATTTTCACACACAATTCCAGGCTATACAGTCCATTAATGAAGGGAAGTCATGGCAGCAGGAACTTGAGACAGCAAGTCACATCACATCCAGTCAAGAGCAGAGAGAAAAAGCACATGCTTAGTACTCAGTTTTCTCTACTCAGTCTAGGGCCCCAAATCAGGGAATGGTGCTGCCCAGTTTCAGGCTGGGTCTTCCCACATGAATTAAGGCAATCAAGACCACCCTATTTCCAGACATGCCCACAGGCCTGATCTAGACAATAGGTCATTGAGAGTCTTTTCCCAGGTAACTCTAGGTACTGTCAGGTTAACAATGAAAACTAACAATCACAAGCACCTTTGTGTCTATTTCTTTTGTAGGAAAGGTTGATTTGACAAGGTGCATGGTTCTCTGACTTATATTTTCCAACATCCTATTGTTGCCCCTACCTCCACCATTGGACTGGTCACCAGCAAAGAAAGTGTGTTAAATCTAATAGCAATTGTTTCTTAATTGTTTCTTGTTAATTGTTTCTCCTTCCTACCTAAGCTGGTACCACTGGTATCTAGCAAATCTAAAAAAGGGATAAAAGTAAATACAGCCAAGGGTCTAATGGTAAGAACAAGGTACAGAAAGAATTTCAACCATTTGTGAAAGTAACCAAGGCCATGTTCACAGAATCATAGCAATGAATGGGCTTGAAAGAGGGGATCTGTGTACAGCTTCTTAAACTGTGTGTTATGGTGAGTCACATAGCTGAATGTGGGGGTTACAAAAGAACTGTCAACAATAAAAGGTTTCTGAACATCCGACAACCCAAGCTAAAATGTGTAATGAATCCCAGCTGTTTCTGACAGCCTTTACCCATGTTGCATTGCACAACTTCCTTCTAACCTTGGTTTTGAACACAACGTGGGCATTCTGCACTATGTATGTGGTGACGCCATGCAACACCAATGAATACTGCCTCAAACATCCCAGCTTAGATTTGACACTATTTGTGTCATGGGTTGTAATGTCTTTACTGTATGAACTTTTCTGTTCTTATAGAAACATAATTACTTGTGTGAAACAAAGTCTTAAAATTTGTTTTTGTGTATAAGTGTTTTATCTGCATTTATGTGGGTGCACCTCATGTGTGCAATGCCCACAGAGGCCAGAAGGAGTAAGATCCCCTAGAACTGGAGTTATAGATAGATGTGGGCCACGATATGGGTGCTGGGAACCAAATCCAGGTCTACAAAAGCAGCCAGTACTCTTAACTACTGAGTCATCTCTCCAGTCCAAGAACATACTTTTTAAATACTTGCCTAATTTGAAAACATGTTGACTTTTGTAAAATATTGTTAAATTTTCATTTGGGATTAAGACAAAATGTTCAACAATTTGTGAATTAACTCTAAACATACTTCTGTAATTTTAAATATTCACTCTTATTACTTAAAATATTTACTTTAAGCTGAGCATGGTGGGGTATGCCTTTAGTAACAGCACTCCTGAGGCAGAGGCAGGTGGACCTCTATGAGTTCAAGGCCACCCTGGTCTACATAAAGTTCCAGGCCAGCTGGGACTACAGGGAGACCCTGCCTCAAAAAGATCTAAAAACTTTTAATTTTATGTGTATGACTGTTTTGCCTACATACATGTATGTGTACCATTTATGTGCCTGGTTCTTGTGGAGATCAGAAGAGATCCCCTAGAACCAGAGTTATAGATTGTTAGTTGCCTGCCATGTGCAAGCTGAGAACCAAACCCAGAGCCTCTACAAGAGAAGTGCTCTTAACTGCTGAGCCATCTCTCCAGCTACTACTTTTAGTACTTCTTAAAATTGTGTTGTATATGTATATATGAATATATGTGCCCATAGAGGCTAGAAGTGTAACATTCCCATGGAGCTGGAGTTACACGCAATTGTGAGCTGCCCAACACAGGTGTTGGGATCTGAACTTGGGTCTTCTGCGATCTGTACATTTAACTGCTCAGCCATTTCCTCAACCTTACTTGTGCCATCTTATACTACGTATTACATGAAACAGCACTCTTGGCATTGATGATTATGTAGTCGAAGTTTCTAGCAGTTCTGAAAAATCTTGAAGATGCTCTAAAATTAAACAAGTAAGCTGGAAATGTAGCTTAGTGGTGGAATGCTTGTCCAACATGCCCAAAGCCCTGGGTTAGATTTCCAGTAGTGTAATAAATAAAAGTGCATCTTTCTCATTAGGATACAAAATTGCTTTCATTTTTAATAAATGATAAAATTATACAGGCGCCAAATAATTTTTTAAAATAAATTTTAAAAAATACTTATTATGTGTAGGAAATGTAGCTTAGTGGTGGAATGCTTGTCCAACATGCCCAAAGCCCTGGGTTAGATTTCCAGTAGTGTAATAAATAAAAGTGCATCTTTCTCATTAGGATACAAAATTGCTTTCATTTTTAATAAATGATAAAATTATACAGGCGCCAAATAATTTTTTAAAATAAATTTTAAAAAATACTTATTATGTGTAGGAGTATATTGCTTACATGTATGTAAGTGCACCTGTGCTGTGCAATGCCCATGGAGGCCAGAAGAAGGCACTGGATCCCAGGAAACCAGAGTTAAAAGATGTTTGTGCTGGGAACCAAACTGGGGTCCTCTGAAGAATAGTCAGTGCTCTTAACTGCTCAGCCAACTCTCCAGTCCCCTAAAATAAATTCTTATGACTTTCAGTAAATGTTTGATTTGTATACAAATGTTTGATTTGTATACCTACTATACTTACATACGCAAGGTTCTATAAAGGTTTCTCAAGTGAAAATGGGTCACAAGTGGAAAAAGTCCTACTCTGTAGTATAGTTCTTGGGTTTCAAACAACTGGTTTTTAGCTGCTACTGTATAGTTTATGTAAAATGATTGCCGAGCTCAATCATGACATAATCACTAATAGTGTGTAACAACAAATCGACTAGCACATACTTAGGAAAAAGGACCTGTCTGAACTGTTATTTGTTTAAAGTTCTATACAATAGTCATTTCTTGACACCATCTGCTCTGGCTGGCTTAGCTGAACATGCTGGCACTTGTTTGTAGGTTTCATTCAAAAGTCAAAGCTAGAGCTGGAGAGATGACTCAGTGGGTAAAGCTTGTCACACAAAACAGAACACTACTCTCTCGTCAACTTCAGCTACTTGTTTCTTGCCAATGTCATTGGCTTCAGAGTCCTCCAAAGAATGACTATGGTTTCAATTTAAAAGCTAAAAGCAAGGTGATCAAGATTTCTTGATGCCTTTATCTAAGAGCAATTGATTGATCATGAGGGGAAGTGGTCTTTAGTGGCACTTGCAAATAAAGAAGACATGTATTTTGTAGCAAAATCAATTCCAAACTGCAATGAAATATTATTTTGTCAGAATCTTTGAACTTCTTCACCCTTTTCCTAGGAACCCATTAATTAGGATGACGAAAGTATTAAAGTAGTAGAGAGGG